TATATATATATATATATATATATATAGTGGATTCGTTTGCCATTTTTTTCATCTACTAAGCACTTAAATATCCATTCATAAAAAATTAATATAGGGAAGATTTTGTGATGATTTTCTTTCGATGATCCATACTGAAGTTTTTGAATGGTGCTTTCTACATGGGGATTACCTGTAAAATTGATACAGCAATAGATTCATCTTTTTAATAATTGAGTTATTGTTTTCAAATCTAATGAATTTATATAATTATATCTTTATTCGTTGGCTTAAATAATAACTTAGACGCTTATTTTGAATATCAGCTATTTCGCCAAATTTAACTTGGAGTAAACCTAAGATTCTTATTTAAAAAAAAAAACAAAAAGCATTCTTAATTCAAAAAAACCAATACATGTTTAAAGTATTACTGATAAAAATTGGGACAAAATTATTCTTAATTTCTCAGAACAAATTTAAAATTTAAAACTACAATCATAAAATGCATCATTTGCAAAACACATGTTAATTTTTTCCTAACATTATTGCAAATACGTGACATTAATAAAAAACAAAATGAGATTAGAAAATGTATAGAAAAAAACTCGATCTTTAAACGGTTAAAAACATATTAGTTTCATATTATCTGTTTTTCCAAAACGATTACTATAATTTATTTTTAGTTCTATTTTTTCATACTTTTCAATATTTCTTACAAAGGAGAATCCCAGGTTTATACTTCAGTGATTTTGATGAAACTTTGCATGATGATAGAGTTGACAGTCAAACTGAACAGATTAAAATGTTATAGGCCTGTGAAAAACAGTTTATTTATAAAAAAGCTTCTATTTCTGAAATTCATCTTCAATATATTATGCCTTCTAAAATTGAAATATAATAAGTCAATTTTATAAGGCGTATAGCAAACTTTTTTATAATCGTATACAAGCTATATTTAATTAATTATATAAGTAATTAATTTAATAAAACGATTGAGATTTTTCAATATGAAATTATATTATTCGTCAATATTATCCATCGGATTTTTTTTATATATTTATTGCCGATCAAAATATTATTTTTAAGGCAATATGTGCTGGACTTGTGTATTTAAAGAATTTATGTCCAATGAGATATCTCCTTTTTGTTTTTTGGCATTTTATTTAAGATCGTATGGACATTTTTTTAACCTTCGAGTAGGGGATTCTATCAATCGGAAATAAGAGAAAAATTATGACAAAATGCTGACTGAACATTCTATTAGCCTAGCAAAGAAATTATTATATCGAACTTGTAAAGAAAGATTTAAAATAAAATTCTAAAGACCTATTTTAAGTCTACTAATAAGTAAAAAAAAATTTCATCTACAACTGTATCGTTGGACATAGTTTTTAATTTTTGTCTGTGCTTTATAAACAATTGTTTTAATGTCTTAGATAGACAGATAGGTAGATGATCAAATGATGTATATGGATATAAATCAGTTCGTGCTTCGTCAAATACATTTGTTGTTATTAATGGTTAATCACATGCTGAAAAGATTAATCTACAAGGCTATTATTATAATCCGAAAGCGTGTCACTTTTTATAACCATACAGATCAGTACAGGCATTTAAATGAAACTTTATCCGTTTACACATATAAATATACACAGACATATATTTATATATATGAAATTAAATCTTCAGGGCAACACAGGAATTACAAAAATAATCAAAATAAAGAATTTTTTTCTTAAAAATCGCAATCAGGATGGATTGAAATCTTATAATTAATTGTTACCTGAGAGAGCGAAAAACAAAGTTAAAATAAATGAAACCAATTATTTTAATAAGATTAGTGTTTACTCCTTGGTAGACTAGTTTAGCTCATCAAGTACACATAATATCGTAAAGAAAAATCCTTACAAAAATGCACTTCAAAAAGCTTTTACATTTATAACATAGTTTTTATCACATAGTGTATTGTTTTTCTATATTTGTTTACCGTAGAACTTATTCTTAGTTTAAATTTGCTTCATCAACAATTTCTTTCTAAATAACATAGCAAAAAATAAAATTATTTAACAAAAGTAGCTATATTGGGGCGACAAATATTATGTACATTTCACTAACAGAAAACATTATTTAAACATTTATTCAAATTTTTAGTCTGAAATATTGTTTATATTTTAGCACTCAGTATAGACTAGTACTACAGCCGAAACTAATGGACTTAATTATAAACTTCTATAAAATTCATATTGCTAGTTATTTACCAATTACTAGAAGATGTTAATATTTCAAAATTAATAAGAGAAGAAGCAGTTAATCATATATAATTTAGATACGTATCTTATTTTTTCTTATAACAAAACTATTCCAAGGATTTGCAATCAAACCACAAGATAAGGAGTGGTCTGGACAATCCCTACTTTGTTCTGCCGACAGTTAATAAATAATATGTAGCCCTGGGCAATTCAATTTATTTCCAAGAAAATTAATTTGAATATTTATCGTTTTTGACGAGGAAACTCAGTAGTTTAACCGAATGCGATAAAATTTATTAGCAACACCACGTGCAACGACTGAGATAAATTTTAATCGTTTTAGAACATGAACAAAGAAATATGAATGGCATCATTCATATTACAACAAAATGAATTTTTTTATGAAGTTTAGTATTGTAACGCAGATTTAAATGTTGATAAAATGTCACCAATAATTTTGAATATCTTTTGTAATATTAAAAAATCGATCACGTGATTAATGGAAGCCTCCTACGTTGCTTTTGATGAATCAGGTCATTTATTCTCTAGTCGTTTTGTTGGGATGGAGTTAACCCTTTGCACTTCAGTGTCTTCTTATTTATCACATGAAGTATGAACTTTTGGAGTTCCGGAGTGCAAAGGGTTGATAGTATATTCTCGTATGATATATTTAACTCTTTGGAGACGGCTGTCCACCTGAGTGGACAAACATACTCTGTGAGGCACAGGCTTTTTTGTAAACAATGACTCAGTTTGCATCGAAAAGTTGAATAAATTACATATAGCAGTGATAAACAGCGTTGTATTTTGAAAATAATTTTAAGGTATTTCAGTAATATTTTTAGCCTTTTTCAAGTTTACAGCCGGTACAGTAGATTGTTTTGAAATCGGTGTCGTCCCGTAAGTGTTAATTAATGCTCATATATCTATTTTTATATTTTGCCATCTTTGCTGATTTGTAACTTTTTGTATATCATATCGTCGCCCATTTGAAGATGGAGATCAGCTTCCAAATCATACTTGATATAAATTCAAAGATGCCAAATAAATTACTTGAAAAAATTTTGAACGCCCAAAGTTATGTACCAAATTGGTTAATACATAAAGACGCCGACATAAACTCAAGAAACGACGAAATACGAACATACTAAGACAATTACAAAAGCCTCCTTGAGGATCATCCAGAGCCACTTGTCAGAGAACTACTCCAAAACACTAGGGCAACATTAAAAAAAATCATATTCAATTCAATATGAGAAATTTTAAAATTTCTGGTAATAGTCAGAAAACTTTGTATTTTTAAAGATATTTTTTTCCATAGTTACTTACTTTTTTTTAAAAAAATTCGTTGCCCATGGTATTTTTATTACTTGGTGTAATTTTGTCGCCAGTTACATTCGAACTGTACATTTCGCATAACTCTTGTTTATATCGACATATGTTTTTACTGATTATATAAATGTGAAATAGACTATCCACTTGTTCTGTTGCAATATAAACTGGTATTTAATAATTATTTGCTAAATTTAGCAATTACAAAGCAAAACATTGCTCTAGGCCTGACAGTTATTACAAAATATTTAACGCCGTGGACATGCAGCTGTGTTGATAGTATTCGAGGGCAATGAACAAGAAAACTAATACTTAGAACTAAAATATATAAATCTACAATGTTTTAATTCATGCCTGGAATTATAATTACTATTATTCCAAGAATAAATCTTATCGCCGACCAAATGGTATATTTTTTGGATACATTTCTGAATCAATTCTGGTGCATGAAACAACGAGATAAAAATGAGACCAAGCAAATGGTGCACTTTTTGGATAGATGAGACCAACCAAGAATATTTTTTGGATACATTTCTGAATCAAATCTGGTACATAAAACAATGATAGATCTCAACTGGTAGATGAGGCCAACCATGTGGTACATTTTTTAAAGATTTTTATTTTGAAGATATCATTTATTGAAGAAAGAGAAGTTCAAGAAAAATGTGTTGTTAGTTATCTATTTTCAAGCATCTATATGATATTTGAAGATTTTTTTAAATTTAATATTCAAGTTAAACTCGTAGTGTGAGAATGGTTCTCTCAATTGAGAGAAATATGAATAATGAGATGAATATAAAGTGTGTTTTTCAACTGCGTATTTGACTCTTTAATTAAGGAATTTTATAAGATTGTTTATCAGATTGTTGTCTCAATATTCTGTAGACGTCTCCTACGCAGTGTGGAAGAAACATTGAGGAAACATGGAAATAATGTTCGATAAAATAGTAGATCAGGTTTTTATATAATAATTGAACTCCATTTTTAAAATTAAACTCCAAAATTTGAGTACAATTCTAATCTAAGGTCATGGGTCATAGGAAATTGCTTGAATTTCAATTTTTTTAACACTTTACATAAATAGTACACTTCACTTTTTACATAAATAATACACTTCACATAAATATATAGAATTGTATTTAATGATAAAAATGAATAAGACTTCATATATAATTTCCAATACGGTCCTCGTTTATCTTATCATAGTAATTCCGTGATTAATCTTTACATAGGTTAGAACAATGTAAGCAGTTGTTATAATCATTTTGATTAGTAATTATCTTGAATTATAACGTATTAATCATAAATTATTCAGATATTTGCAAAATTACGATTAATTTACTCATAAATAGGTGCTTCATGTTGAGTGAAAGGTAGAGATTATTGCTATGATTTGATTTTAGTCTGAATTATTTAAGAAAATGATAAAATCGAATGTTTTTTAATGCATATTTTTAACGCAATTCCCCGATTTGTGTTTCCGAAAGGGTTTTATTAAATTTTTATCAATATATTTTATAGTAATGTATACGATCTTAATTTGATAAACTAAATTCAAAACAGAAGAACCCAGTTAAGACTACTATACTTAATACGATTTCTCGCATAATACATCACTTCTATTTTTTGCTCCAATCACTGGAAAATTGTCTTAACAAGGCTTAAAATTGAAAGAATTCACTTTTTCTTCTGAAAAAATGTGTGCAGACATATGTAATTTATTTTGCTAGGTTAAATATTTTATTTTCAAATTGCAAAGTATAAGACTATATTACGAAATGAATCATGCATTAACCAAACTTCATTTCTCTTAACCATCTTATCTTACGTCAAGTAAGTTGTAAGAACTTACATTTGTAAGAAAAGTGAGTAAGCTTTCTCATGAATTAATTTATAAATTAGTCATCAAAAGTATATATTTTCTTTCTCATATTAGATTGACAACTAAGTAATGGCGAATTTTTGATAGAAAATTCATTTATTGTTGTTCAGAAAAGACTTTTATTTTTGTCCATTTTTATCAATGACTTTTTGTCATCTTTCAAGCAGCATCATCTCACTTTCATAAATCTTCTGGTTTTTATTAGCAAAAAACTTTATCATGTGCAATGAGATATAATTATTGGATTGTTCAACATTCAAAGAATTTTGTAAAGATCGAAGCAAAAAGTAATATGGCAAAACATTCAAACCAAGCTCCAATAATTTGCTGAGTGGCCAACAACATGTGATGTCAATAATAGAATAAATCACCGTTAAGATTTTCCAATTCCGATTACCTGCATCATTTTCATTAGTTGTTTAATGTAGATATCAAAATTGATTATTTGGTTGGTAATAATAGTTCAAAGTAGATAATTTATTTATAATCAACTTCAACTGGACTAACAGAGTTTTTCATCTATGAGTAAAAATTTATCAGAAATAAGATTGCCAAAGCAATTTTGATACTGCCGTTTTTTTAACTATAAATAACTCATAACTTTTCGTGAACTTAAGCTCTTTACTTTTGCAGAACTAAAATTATTTATTGTATTCAGCATCTTTCAATAAACGCCAAATGAAATGAATGAAATGGATAAAAAAACTCTTTACTGATGGACACCTAAGCTGCAAACGGTATTTTACATTTGGACTACGTCAGCAAATCTAAAAATTCAATGGTAACCATCTAAAAGTGAAAGCCGCACTCACTTAGTTGCCAAACTGATATATCTGAATTGTTTAATTTCAATATTTATTTGATGTAGACATCAGAATTGATCATTCCGCTGGTAATAACAGTTCATAGTTGATAATTTCTTTTGTGATTCAACTGGACGATCAGAGAGTTTCTGAAAAAACACCAGAACAAACCAATTTTCATATTGCCTTTTTGTCACTATAAACACCCCATAAATTTTTGTGATCTTAAGATGCCTCTTTACCTTTGCAGATCTATAAAAGCAAAATATATTTAATTTTTGATCTTTCTATGAATGCCAAACACAAGGAATGGGTAGATCAAAAATCTCTTTACTGATGGACATCTAAACTATCTATTAAGAAACGACATTACCAACTGGATACTACTATATTACATGAATAAAAGGCAGCAAACCTAAAAATTAAATTGAAACCATCTAAGAGTATAAGCCGCACTTACCTAGTTGCCAACCTAATATATCTGTTTGACGTAGACATCAGAATTGACCATTCTCTTGGTAATAACAGTTCATAGTTGACAATCAACTTCAACAATCTTTGAGTAAAAGATCATCAGAACGAAATTTGGAAAACGAAGATTGACAATATTGTTTTATTAAGGCTTCATCATCATAAAAACAACTCATGAATTTTTGTGAGCCTGGATACTTTTTCACCTTCGCAAATCTAATCAACTTACTGATGGACATCTATCCATCTATAATTAACAAAAACTATTCTACATTTGATCATCAAACAATAAAATTCAATTGAAACCATCTAAAGGTGACTGCTGCACTTACTTAGTCGCCAACCTAATGGAAAGGTTAACCATTGGGATGCGCTTCATGACAACCTTGGTCTTCAACCAAGCAGCTTATTAGACAAGACAGGTAGTCCTGAGTACTTGAGATTGGTGCCGAAAGATACAAAAAACCTGGTGTAATATTTTATTTCCTCGACCCGTTCAGGAGTAATGTACCTTTGTCAATTCAATCCGTGATGACTCCTGCACTAGCATTTTTGATAGAATATTTAGTCGCCAACCCAATATATCAATAGAATGGTTAAACATTGGGATGCGTCTCATGACAAGGATTAATCTTCAACTAAGCAGCTTATTAGGCAAGACAAGTAGTTTTGAGTACTTGAGATTGGTGCCGAAAGATACAAAAAACCTCGTGTAATATTTTATTTCCTCGACCTGTTCAGGAGTAATGTACCTTTTTCAATTCAATCCGCGATGACTCCTGCACTAGCATTTCCGATAGAATATTTGTTCTCGGAACATATAGTGGGGTATGACCGCGCTGTCACTCACACTTTAATAGAGCGGAACACCGAATGATTCCAATCATGGTGCGAAATATCTCCCGCGATACACGATTTAAAGAAATACTGAATTTGACACAGGCCAAAATAGTAGTAATATAATAATAATAATAAAATAAATACTTAATCTGGTGTTTCATTCCTACCAATTTATCTAAATACGTGTCTGTTACGATTACGCGCTCTTTTGCAACTTGATTAGAATTTTTGATGTGAGAACATTCTTAGACCTCGATACTTATTATTCTTGGTACTAACAATACGTTGAAACAAAAGGTTGCAGAATTATATGTTTATAAATTTAATTGTGTACACATTTATATATACTCAGAAATAAGTACTTGTATATTTTTCAAGTATATATGCAATGGTATCCGCATTTGCTGATCAGTACTACTTTAATACTTGTGCAAGTAGCATGTGAGAGCATGACTCTTATGTTGTAAAAATATCCAAATATATATATATATATATATATATATATTATGTTAGTGTATCTTTTATAATTTTTTATATTTTTTATGTTGTAGTGTGCAAATATTTGTGTAAGGCCAGCTAAAACATTTGGTGTTTGACAACTTTTTTGTGATTAAAAGAAAGTTACCAAATCTTGGGAGATATAAACTAAAAGTGTGAAAGATGTGATCAACATTATTTTGGATTTATTATTATTATCGTAAATTAATTATGAAGTGATGGATTTGGATTATTATATTAATAATAAATAATTTCCAGATGAAGTGACTTAGTAGTGTTTTTTTATAATACTTTAATGTGGTATTAGGACAATTTGGAATAGATTCAGAATGTTGTAAGTACTTTTTATCATTTAATTTTACTAGACGAAATCAATTTATTACAAAACTAAATATTTGCGAAATTGAATGTATGGTACGAAAATTTATTCTGCTTATCATTAAATTTTAAAATTAACGTCAAAAATCTATGTACAATTTGTTTCTTATTCATGTAACAGCATACTACTTATACTTCAATTTATCATTCTTTGTATACTTCTGATTTATTTATATTTATTATGAGTGAAATGACAATTTTACTCGTATTACCATATTAACTGAATTTTAATATTAAACCTAGATTTTTAAATTTGCGCGCGCATGAAATAAATAGTGCAATTCTAAAGGGAAGTGAAATATTATTAACAAATGTTCTTGAATCAAAATATCAAAATAAGTTCATTCTAGTCATAAAATCTAATTTGCTAATTTTGCGACGTTTCAAGTTATTCCTCACACCAAAATTGGAGAAAGTATACGTGTGTGAGCCAAAATTTGACTTTCTGGTCCATGTTTTCTCAAAAATGGCTGCACCTATTTAAAAAATTCAAAATCTATTTGATGAAACTCGATTAAGACCTATATTGATTAGTTTTTTGCGACGGTCGGTACAGTCGTTTCTTTATAATCAGCACATAAGTGCAAAAAAATCAAGTTTTTTTCAATAAACCTGAACCTATTTATAAAATTCCTTCAACTTTTGAAAAAAACTAATCAGCACTGATATTATTCATTCATTCATTTAACTTTTGGAATAATATCAGTGATGATTAGTTTTTGGTAAAGATTTGCCTGATATTTTTTCGTAAATAACATTTTAAAAAATGACGATTTTAATGAAATTTTGTATAGCGATAAGGTTAATAGACCTTTAGGAACATTCTAAAATATTATAGGCCAACAGGAATTGGTTCTATTATAAATAATAATTAAAATTTGGAATAAGGGGCTGCGCCCTATGGACAACACATAAAATATATTTATTGAGGTACAGGGCTTAAAGGTCTGCGGGTAAAAAGGTCCACCACCAATATTTCAAAAAACGAGTAAAGTTAGGGATTGTTTAACAACAATATTTGAAAGTAGAGGTCAAAAGATGTATAAGCCATCACCTTGATTCATACGTTGGTATGGGGAGAAAAACGGCCACATTGTTAATTTTGTAACTAAAGTATTTTTTTTCGTTGTTAATTTTTTGTTTGAGCACTGTTATTTAGATTACAATACATGAATATAGTTTTTAAATATATTTATTGTAATTGCTTTATAAGATGTCTACTTATTTTGAAGTTAGATTCCAGAATTTGAGTCAAGAATTTTATTTGTGTAATTTCTAGAATATCTTACATGTTGTTGGGGTAAAAATGAACTTCTAAACCATTATACTGGCAAAGTGTAAACAATATGAAAAAAGTAAATAAAAATGTGAAATAAGTTCAAAAAAAATCTGCAGAAGCTAAATTAAATTAATAGTTGTTCCAATTTTGATAATGAGTTCTCATGATAAAGTTCCATATAAAAAGGTTGATAAGATTCTATATGAAGTTTAAAAAATATGCATTTTAAAGAAAAGTTGTATTCATATAATTTTTATTCATTGTATTTCAATAAACAATAAATCTAATTATAATAAATTAGACAGAAATACTTACGAAAACAAAATTCATGATAGTAGTAAGATTTGATACACTTGTTTATTAAGTATTAAAATACATATTTAGATTATGATTTTTAATTTTATTGTTTAACTTAATAATCGGAAATAGCGATCTAATGTAATTTTATCTCATAAAATCTTTTTAAATTAAAAACAAAATGGTTTAGTTTTTTGTCCCCTGGCTAAACCCACATATGGGGTAGAAAAGATTAGGTGACAATTTTTTGAAAAATAACAAGACTCTATAATGATGTTTTATAATGATGAAGTAGCTGGAACATTGTCTGTAACATTGTTAGATAGTTGTTTGTTTGACATGTATTATTTATTTTGATGTAGTTGGTTTGGTTTTCACAGAATAATTGCTCAGATTTGACTTTTGTTAAGCATCACCCCGTTACCCTAATAAAAAATTCTTGAAACATGAATAATTAAAAATTGAACTCTATATCACAAAAATATTCAAACATTCAAATTGTAAAATAGAAAAAATTAAAAAATATGTTGGTATCAATTTTATCATTATTTTGAATGTTCATGCGGTTTTGACAAATTATACAGACAGATAGGACAAAATTGTAAAATATTAAACTAAAATCGTAAATTTTCTTTTCCCATTGATACCTGTCTGAAAATCCAGTGGCCATTTCTGATGAGTAATTGTAAGTTGAGTTCCCCCCATCCCAAATCTGACTTTCAGGGCCATGAAACCGGTCCTTATTTAATATTTGAAATGTCATCAAAATGATATATGATGTTCAGTGTAGTGTAATGTCTTGTAATTTCGATGCTTTATTACTAATATCCTTAATTTAAAGAATAAGTTCGTATCAAGAACACAACGCGTCAAGACAATGTAACAAGCGGAAGGATTTTCAATCTGTTGTTCTTGTTATGAAACAAGATTACATTGATTTTCTCAACTGCTACTTAGCATTAAATTGTTTATCTGATTTATAATACTTGTGTAGAGTTTCTTACACAGAGTGCATAGAAAATACTTAGTTTCATAATGAAATTATCATCCATAATAAAGTTAACGTAGCTAAATCAAAGTAAAGTATAAGTATATAGTAATTGTACAAATATTTTCCGATGAGCACAAACAGTACATGGTTTATAGATGGTTTGCATGAAGAACAATATTTGCAAAAAAAATAGAGATATTGCATATTAAAATCTCAAGATACAACAGATTTTGATAGAGAACTGTGGTTACCATACAAATCTATGGCAAAGTTGTAAAATTTTCCACCATCTCAATTTTTTTTTTCAAGACTTAAGAAACATTCATATGGGGCGTGCTTGACAGTGGGTAAACTATTCATATATTTGTTGTTAGCTTATTTCACTTATGCACCACATTTACAAACAGTTAGTTATTTTTGTATGAACATTTTATACTAGAAATATTTTTCATGGAAAACGTTTTCCGGGTCAGCTAGTATATATATATATATAATTCAGATTTTTTTTTATAAATTTCCGAATTTCTATATAACTCAGAATCATACAATATATATATATATATATATATATATATACTAGATGGCCCGGCAAACGTTTTTTGCTTCGTAAGATTTCTAGAAAATCAAAAAAATTAATACAAAATTTAAATCATTGTTCGATTTAAATTACGGCCACTTTGTGATCTAAGCTTCAATTTGTTAATTACTTTCTACCTTATTATAAATATAATGCAATAAAAAATTTAAACTATAAAACAAAGTTGACCTTACAATTACACCTTTACTACTACTCCATCCATCTAATTGATTAAGTCACTTGATATTTTGCCCACACTTATTGGAACTTACCCAATAAATTATTATGGGTGTATAAAGCTGATATGATTGAATATAATTGTAAAATTATGAATATACGATAAAAATATAATTAATACGTTTTTTCTAACTAGTGTATTCAGTCTACTTTAAAAAATGTTTAAAATTTTTTTGGTAGCCAGATATAGGGAAGAAAAATATGCGTTTAATGAATATTTTGCTTTAAAAATTTTTTTTTTGAGAATAATTGCGTGATTAAATACTACATATTATAAATATCTTACTTGTTGTTGCGCCTTTAACAATATTTTTTAGTATGATTAGAAATATATGTTATGTTTTTTAAATTGAAAGTTATCACCTCAGACTAAGTAAATTTTTTTTTTAATTATTTCATATCCAGCAATTATCAGCCATATATTTGCATAATATTTTTTTGTTTTGTTATATTTACATTAAATTAAATTTTATAATTTGAAAACTGAATTTTATTTCGTTACATTTTCTTATAGCCAATAAATTTTATTCTAAAATATAAATTATTGCCAATTATATGAATTATTCAAGCGACTATAAACTAATAGTACAATTTATTCAAAAATGAAACACAATTATTCCATATCTTGCCACTAATTTAATTGGTTAAATATTTGAATAAAATATATTTTCAATTCAACACATTTTATATTTCAAAATATTAATAATTGCTAATTATATGAATGATAATCATATTAGGGTCTATGTTTGAATTTGCATAATATTTTTACTGTACTCTTTAAAACTTATTTTTAATAAAAAATAATTTCCAGGTAAATTTTGTGACTGGCAATTTTAAGAGTGGCCCTGCACTGAGTTTTATTAGAGTTAAAAGAATATAGAGTTAAAAGAATAAAAATTCTAATGTAATGAAACATATTAATGAAGAATACCAAACGTAAATAAAAACAATTTAGTATTACTAATCTCAGTTAGTTTAACACAATATTTCATTGTGTTTCCAAAGATTTTATGATTTACGACCCACCTTACCGTTTCTAAAAACGTTGTCTAAAAGTATTGTTCTTAAGAAGTTCAAAAGATGATCCTTTAGAAATCACTGACTTCACCTGACCGTCTCGAGTTTGAAATTGAATTGAACTGCAACTTTTAAAATTGCAGCGGTAGAAATTTGAAATGTTTACTCAGTCAATTACTATATTTTAATTGAAAAACTTGTGGTAAACTCATAATATTAGGATGTTCTTAATGGCCATACGTTCTGTGTGTATGTATGCATGTATGAATGCAGATGCAGACTTTTCATAGACGATTTCGAGAACACGGATCAGCTGATTTCAACGATTCAAAAAACATTAGACAAATGACCAGGAGACATGCTGATTAGTTTTTGGTCAAGTTTCAAAGATACGGGGCAAGAAGTGCCAAAAATGTAAATTCAGTGTTTGAGAGAACAGAGCGTCCGTTTTCAATAATTCTAAAAACATTCTACTTGTATTGATAAAATAAAGAACTGATTAATTAATTAATTAATTAATTAATTCAAAATTAGTTAATTGATTAATTAATTTTGAAA